CAGGAGGTTAAGAACATGCTCTACACCACAGCCGGGGAGAACGGCCCTACCTGGAGCCTCTGGCAGAGAGCACCTGGGGAGACCCGAGGCCGACCTCTGGGCTTTTGGAGCCGGGGATACAAAGGCTCTGAAGCCAATTATACACCAACTGAGAAGGAGATACTGGCAGCGTACGAAGGAGTTCGGGCTGCCTCAGAAGTGGTCGGCACTGAAACACAGCTCCTCCTGGCACCCCGACTGCCGGCGCTGGGGGGGATGTTCAAAGGAAAGGCCTCCTCCACGCATCATGCAACTGATGCCACGTGGAGTAAATGGGTTGCGTTGATAACACAAGGGGCTGGAATAGGGAACCCCAGCCACCCAGGGATACTAGAGGTGATTACGAACTGGCCAGAGAGCAAAGATTCCGGGATGTCACCAGAACAGGAGGTGACACATGCTAAGGGAGGCCGAACCATGTAACAAGCTGCCGGATGAGGAGAAGCGATATGTCCTGTTCACTGATGGGTCTTGTCGCATTGTGGGAAAACATCAACGATGGAAGGCTGCTGTGTGGAGTCCCACACGACGGGTCACTGAAGCAGCTGAGGGAAAGGGTGAATCGAGCCAGTTTGCAGAGGTGAAAGCCATCCAGCTTGCTTTGGATATTGCTGAGTGGGAAAAGTGGCCGAGGCTCTACCTCTACACCGACTCGTGGGCAGTGGCGAATACCCTGTGGAAATGGCTGCAGCAATGGAAGCAGAACAACTGACAATGTAAGGGTAAAACGGTCTGGGCTGCTGAAGTATGGCAGGACATTGCAGCCCGTGTGGAAAACCTCGTTGTGAAGGTGCGCCATGTGGATGCCCATGTACCCAAGAGTCGCGCCACTGATGAACATCGACACAACCAGCAGGCAGACCAAGCTGCTAAGATCAGAGTGGCTCAGGTGGACTTGGACTGGCAGCGCAAAGGTGAACTGTTCATAGCCCGGTGGGCCCATGAGACCTCGGGCCACCAAGGTAGAGATGCAACATACAGGTGGGCTCGAGATCGAGGGGTGGACCTCACCATTGACACCATTGCAGAGATCATCCACGCATGTGAGACGTGTGCTGCAATCAAACATGCCAAGCGGGTGAAGCCCCAGCGAAATGGAGAGTGATGGCTGAAATAGAGCTATGGAGAGGCCTGGCAGATCGACTACATCACACTGCCACAGACCCGCCACAGGAAGCGCCACGGGCTCACAATGGTGGAAGTAACCACTGGATGGCTGGAATCTTACCCAGCACCCCATGCCACCGCCCGGAACACCATCCTGGGCCTTGAAACCCAAGTCCTCTGACGACACGGCACCCCAGAGAGAATTGAGTCAGACAACGGGACCCACTTCCGAAACAACCTCATAAGTGCCTGGGCAGAAGAACATGGCATCGAGTGGGTCTACCATATCCCCTACCACGCACCAGCCTCTGGGAAGATCGAGCGCTGCAACGGATGGTTAAAAACCACATTGAAAGCACTGGGAGGTGGCACCTTCAAAGACTGGGACATGCATCTAGCAAAGGCCACCTGGCTAGTCAACACAAGAGGATCTGCCAGTTGAGCTGGTCCAGCTCAGTTGAAACCTCCATGTGCTGTGGATGGGGATAAAGTCCCTGTGGTGCACATGAGGAATGTATTGGGAAAAATGGTCTGGTTTAGTCCTGCGCCAGGCAAAGGTAAAGGCAAACCCATCCACAGGATTGCTTTTGCCCAAGGACCTGGGTGCACCTGGTGGGTGATGCAGGACAATGGAGAGGTCCGATGCGTACCACAGGGGGACTTGATTCTGGGTGAGAACATGCTGTGAATTAGGCTGTGCCTTTGTAAATTGTTGTTTTGTTATTGTTAACTGCTAAATGGCAGCTGGACATGACGTAGATTGTATAGAATAAAGGGGTGGATTATGTCCTGGTTCGACTAGGATAGAGTTACATTTCCCAAGCAGAGAGAGAGGGGGAAGGGATCTCCAGCCGGGTTATTCATACCATGCTGACGTCAGGTCCAGGGGCGGAGCCTTTTTACCTTTCGCTTCTGGTGTTGGTTTTTGCCATACATGCGACGGGTTTGCTCTGTGATCATTTAGCGGTATTTCTCTGTATATCGTTTGTCTTGTTCACTGTTATTGCTGTTTATTGTTGTTACCATTGATGCTGTTGTTATTCAGATTGTTTTTAGCCGGGGTCTGTGTTTAACTTCCAGCCCGACCAGCGTGGGTGGGGGAGGGGCAACAGCCACGTGCTCTCTCATCCCGGCAAGGGTTAAACCTTGCACAGGTAGCTCAAAGGTAGCATCTTTGCTGATGTTATTCCAGCTGTGTGCGTACTGTATTTCCACCAGCCCCATCTTCCACTTGCCTGAGGACTCAAGGCACCTCACCACCTCTACAGTAAAGTTGATGTTGGTGTATTGTGGAGGGATGCCAGTGCTGGCATTGCTGGACAGTATGAAGTTCTACAATCCCCCATCTGTCACTTTTCCTTTTTCCTCTGCTCTGCTGCCAGTCACTAGATGTTGTGGATGTGGGAGGCACCTGCCCAAATGTCAAACCTGTGGGGGCATCCCTGCCACTTCTCCAGCAGCTGTTTTCTTTCTTCCTGTGAATTCTGTACTCATCAAGATTCATTTTTTGAAGTTCTTCAGGGTAAAATATCCCCTCAACTGTTTTGTGATTATTATATGTGAAGTAATATGCAGGCAGCTGTCCTCTTCTCACAATTTCAGCTACTGTGAACTCATAACCTTTCTTAAATCCTTTCATTTGAGACTCCCTGATGCAGTCTCCCTTTATGAGCAGAGGTGCAGATTCTTTAATTTTAAACACAACCCCATACATGGTTTTCCAGAGAGTTTAAAGTGTTTGTGTCTACTAGCCTGATAGCTTGGTGGAAGTTATGGTTATAGTTCTTTATGGACTTTAACAACGCATCAACATAGCAACAAGTGTTGCATGTTGTAAAATGTCTCCTCACCTTGATTTTGAGCATCTTGTTAAAATGACAGAGGCTTTAACTTCATTATTTAGTAACACATGGTGAACACGATCTGCTTTAACAGTTTAAAGGCTGGTTTAAAAATTCTTTTCCCTAGTCTATCTCTAATTTCTTAGGCTTGCACTGTCTTCTAAAAATGTTTTTAAAGCCCTGGCTACCTCAGAATATGTTTTGCCTTTTGGATCAATGGCTAAGACAAGCTTGGTTAGTATGTCTATCACTGATAAGATGTACTAAACACCATCATTATGATGGCAAACTGTTGCATATCCACCAAGTCTGCTTCCCATGGTGCATCCACCTCTGCCACAAACACCTGTTTCTTTTAAAGTGCTTTCTTGCTGTTTTGTATAAGCTATAGGTATCCTGGTTTGCAAGCCAGATTGTCACTTGGCTTCTGTTGAGATCAGCAATTCACCTTTTAGAAGCTTCAGAAAGGAGATTTATACACCCAAACTTCCCACCTCCCCACAGGGACAGTAGATCTCTGCTAACAGAAGCTGTGGCATAGAGGTCTACTCACATGCTATTACACACGCTCATGAAAGAAAACACTGGACTATCAATTTAACTCAAGTACAAAGAAACTTTGCTAAAAGGGTGTGAGGGGCGTTCATTGCCAGTCAGACTTCTCCAGGCTTTTTCCTAGAACACTGCTGTCACTTCTGTGCCTGTGCATCTTTCTTTGTCTGCTGCAGGCCCCAACAGGAAGGCAGATGAGTCATGGCATGCTCCCAGTTTCCCCTCACGCAGTCAGACAGGGCTTCCTAAAACCTTTTGTAAGGTCACGAATCTAAGGAACAGGCAACATACATAGCAGCAGCCTGCACCCCATAGTGGTCTTCCAGGTAGCTAGAAGATGCCCCGTAACCATGGGCAAAGGGAGCTTCCCCCATCACCTGCCCTCTCTGTGTGACACTTGCCTCCAAATCCAGTCTGTGGTTCACAAGCCATTGGCTGGTTCTTCTGGTTCACATGGCTGTTTGGGATATTCCTTTAAGGTCTTTTCTTTCTTGGTCCAGCTCACAGGGTCAGTGTTTGCATGTAACAGGATTTACATTATGGGCCCCTTGGTAGCCTCCTGGGAGAGGTCCATAGCCCTCAGGCACATTCCAAGATGTCTACCCCACCACCCTTTTGGTGTCCCTCTGTCCTTTTCAAATTCCCCCCACCCCAGACATTTGGTGTTTGTTATGCAGACAAGTAAAGTGCAGGACTCTGACCATTAGCTCTTATTAAAGAATGTTTTACCTATTTTATACCTTTGCTTTCAGGGCTGTATATATTTCTGTATCTTGATAAATCTGCATATGTTATCTATTCTATAGTGTAGGATAGTAGAAATACCTATATCATGTAGTGTAATGTATAATGTATCTATGTACAGACAAATGATATATTTATAAACATTTATGCACTCCTTTCTAGTTATAAGTATATATGTATATTATATATATTATTGTGGTGTGTTAGCCTCAGCTAGCCACCAGCTGCCCACCCAGTCACTCTCATGCCTCTTCAATGCGATAGGAGCCAAAAAATAAGATGGAGAGCTCATGGGTTGAGATAGGGGTTGAGATCATTGACCAATTACTGTCATAGGCAAAGCAGACTCGACTTGGGGAAAATTAGTTTACTGCAAACTAAAAATAGAGTTAGATGGTGAGAAACAAAATCTAAAACACCTTCCCACCTAATCCCCATTCTTCCCAGATTCAATTTCACTCCTTCATTGCTGACTCTTCTACCTCCATCCCACTCTGAGTCACACAGGGGAATGGGGATTAAGGTCAATCCATAACAGCTCCTCTCTGCTGCTCTTTCCTCCTCACACATTTTTCTGAATTGTGGTGACAATACAGGTTTTCTGGGGCAAATTGAGACTATTGAGAACACTGTGATGTTTGACAAACCCTACGAGGAGTAGTGGGTCCAAAAAGACGCATCTTGTCTATTCAAGATTTTTCCTTTGCTGATAGCCAATGGAGATACTGACTTCCAGAAGGGGTATTTATAAACAGATCATGGCCTATCCCCATTACACCTTCCACTTTTTAAGCATGCAATACTGGTCTGGTGGTCAAGGTGCTGTGATTGTGGTTGCTGTTCCTTGCCTGGTCTGCCTCCTATTCCCTGGCAATCCTATCTTCCTTGTGCACTGCAGTCCACCAAGTACTGCCAGGTGTTGGGCAAGGAAAAGCTGCAGGCAGAAAACATGGAAAAAGGAAAAATAGGAAAATTCTGCCTAGCTCTAGCTCTGCACAGCTCTGCATGCTCCATAGTTTGGCATCTCGCTGGATGCTAGGAGATGCTCCAAGGTACATAGTCAAACAGGGCCTGAAACTGTAGAGGAGGGTCCTAAACATGAGACTGGAGGAGCAGTTGTTTGTGTCTTTGAAGATCTCAAACTGGGCAGTTTCTGTTGTTATCAGGGAATATTACAGGACAAGTGAACTGCATGTGTCATAGCTGTTTTTACACAGCTCCTGAGGAGCTGATACAGCTGACCTGTGCATGTTGACAGACCTGTGTAGGTTTATGTCTAGGTGCTCTCTTTTCTCAATGTTAAGAGTCAACTACAAGTCCCTCAGTATTTCAGCAGGAATGCACGAGTGGATAACTTTGTCTTCCATGACTTAAAGCCACGCATGCTATTTAAAATGCAGGCTCCAATCCTGTGACAGCTTCTGCAGCTCCAAATGCTCTATGGGAACATAACATGGTGTAAAAGGCCAAAACCTGCAGGTACTTTTCTGATGGGAGACTCTCCACCAGTCTCCAAAGCTTCCAGACCAGGCTATGGAGAAAAGGATGCACTGCCCATGCAGGATGTTTGCACATATATGGAAGATACATACTCAGAATATTGTGCCAAGAAAAGCATCCTTGAACTTAATAGTACCTTCAGTATATGGTTTGGTCTCTTGATAGTGAATGGATGGCAAAACAGCACCATCAGCCCCTGCTTAGTTGAATCTGATTCATACAAATAAATTATAAATAAATAATCACCTACTTAGCACGTGTTTAATAGTATACTCCCAACCCAGCTCACCCTCAGTTAGAGGACTTTCTTGCAATCTCAGCACTTAAGCATTTATTTTATTGGAAGAGGAGAGTAATTCTTGCCAAAGCTACAGCTGAGTCACTAGTGAAGATAACATAAATCCTAAATTCAACCAGTTTTGATTTTCTTGCTCTAGCTAAAGGAACTTAATATGCTACAGTGAGGAGAGAATGTTAGGCTAAAACAAGACTAAAGAGAAAAATTATTTATTTAGAACTTTTTAGTAACACTGTTCGCAGTACATCATAACAGAGTGATTACATAATGGAGTGATCATAAAAGGGTGATTTAAAAAAGCAAAGAAAAGACAAAGCATAGATTATAGGCTAGTTGTGGAAACCTGTGGGTTTTTTCCTTCCATAAGCAAAGCTGCACAAATAAAGGCTGTCTCATATTATTTCCGCGAAGGTAAAAGATTGATTTACTCAATCTGTATATTTTATTTTGTATAAACATACCAATACTTAGATTAACACTTCCATATAGTTTACAATGTTTAATTTAAATACAGTATTATGTGTCATTGACTTGTTGATTTAAGGTGCTATTTATCAAAAACTACAGTAACTGTTTTCTTAATCAGTTCTCTTTGGCACACTTATGGTTTATTTAAATACAAAAGTGTAGAATTGAATTGAGTATATAACACTGTAGAATTGAATTGAGTATATAACTTGAAGAGATTTTTTGTTAGATATGAGGGCAGTTTTAGGTTTACCACAACCTTATTTACAAAGAAAGAACTGTATATGAATTTCAGTTTACATATAAAATAGCTAATTAATATGCAAGGCAAAAAAATTTGTTACAGCAACTCCTCCCTTGAGAGAGTGATTTTTGCACCATGGAAATCTTATACAAAATGTTTCAGAAAATGGAGATTTCTTATAAGGAAGTTTGTGGTGCTTCTTATGCTATACCAAGCCACCTGAAGACATGACTTTCTGAGTTCAGAAATGCTTCATAAGATACGGTTTAGCTGAAATGTTGGCACTGTAGTAGTGTTGCAGCTAGAGACTTGCATGTTCAACTGGCAAACTAAACCAAGGAGCAAACCCCCAACCATTCTGTATAAAAACCTTCATGACAGTGGCTTCTTTGTAGAAAAAGTTATGTCTCCTATATTCTTGATTCTCTATCTGGTTTTATTCCAAGGGGGAAAGTTTTAGAACTTGTACTATGCATTGCTATATAGTCTGTTTTCATCTTCATGACCTCTGACTACTTTTGTGCTGATTAATATTTGCTTAGAGTCAAAGGTGAACAACAGTAAACAGACTTATTTCTTCTTCTTATGGAAATGTATTAGGAGGCCATCAAAGTGGACCTAAATTGGTAAAGTATCACTTTACATAAATTATTCAAATCCCAGAAGTCCAAACCCACAGCAATTTATTTCACATCTGAAGGCCAATCCCAGTAGCTGGCATTCACATGAAAGGGACACCTAGCTACACAAACACTGAAAATTCTTGCATGCCCAATTATTTCACAGCTGAAGTAAAATGAAACCCTGTTCACAGTAAAACACTTATCACAAGGCTTTTCTTGTCTGTGATAATTCCTCCCTGAATCACCCAAGTGGTATTCTCTCAGCTGCAGAAATGAGTATTTTGGCACATGATCAAGTTACAGTAGGTGTCAAGTGCAGTGCAATCTGTTTAGAAGGCAAGGATGTTAAAAGGGATTTCATACAGGCATTCTGTAATGGGGGTAAGATGTGAAATGCTGTGCAACTCCTGAGTAAAACACATCTGGCTGTCCCAGCTAAGATACCCACTTACAAGCATGCTGATTCCAAAGAGGCATTTCATAGCCTCATCAATAGTGTATATTCCTGGGGGGGGTGGGTGGAAATGTATTTTACAGCAGTCCTTTTCTTAACCTATCAGCAAGGACTAGAAGTGGTGAGTTCAAATTGTTGGGAGAGGTGATGAGAAGGAGGCAGAACTGGTAACATCAAATCAGAGTCTGCTGTAGTAAATCAAATGCACATGAGATGTAATTAATTCTCAATTATCCTTTAAGCTTTTTGAAATATTGCATATGGCCATGTTCTTTAGTGCTCCTGTTTTACCTGAAAGCTACTGGCTTTAGAACTGAGATGTCTGCGTGAAGGATAAGGTATCAAACTTATCTACAGTAAATCCTCCATTGATGTATGATTTCTTGGCTTCCATTTCATCATTATCAAGTACTGTTTCCAAGGCAAAAGGATTGACTATGTTGACTTCAGTGGTGACATCCATCTGCTCCAGCTCCTTTTTAGAGAGCTTCTCCACTATTCCTGTACCAAAGGCATCTCCCAAGACATTCACCATTGTTCTGAATCGATCCCTACAGAATAAAAATGTTGTCAGACAAACCATTCTGCATGTGACTTAGAAAATTCTTTTACTAAATTAAGCTACTCTAACAAATGAAAAGCTGTTGGTTTTATTTTTTTCCCCCAGTGCAGATTTGGAGTAATTCTGCAATTAAAAGAAAAAATAATCATGTAGGACAAGAAACAGAATTTTCCCCACATGTGTTTGAAGAAACCTGGAGTCACTAAAACAACAAATTACTTTGTACAGGGTGTGCAAAACTGTAAGTCATGTCACTAGCCTATAACTTTTTTTATAAATTACCGATTACACAGTAATCACATTGCTGTGGACAGTCTCCAAAAATGTAGGGATCACTTCTCAGGCCCTGAAGTATGCTACACAGCTGGTTCTCTTTGTGATGAGACTGCTTTTGTTGGGAGGAGAGACTGTGGGGTACAGCAGAAGAGTCTGCATTGTGCCTTTTGTCTTTCTAACAGTCATCTCCTCAGCCAGAGGAGCACCTAGCCCAGTATCTTCAGTATTCTGGCCTGAACACTGGGAATGGGAAAGGCTATCTTCTGTCAGCTTCTCACTGTTAAGGGGTTGAAGTACAAAGTTGTATTAAACAAGCCACTTAAAGGAATACGATACTTCTGTACTTTTGATTTTTCTCCCAACAGAAATGTGACTTGTGGGCTTTAAAAATCTGCCACTACTTGGCAGAGGAGCAACAAAACCATGCAATATAGCAAAGTTTGAAAACTGACATGGAAGTAAGGTAGGAACAGTGGAAGGTAATGCTTCCCTGTTTTTGTTTTCAGCTACATGGCACTGCAAGGGCTTTGTGGCAGAACGAGTTGCTCTGTCTGTGCAAATTTGTCAAAGTGGGTATATTCACAGATAGAAGGGACTACAAAAAACAACAGTGAAGTGAATCGGCATGTCTCATATACATATTCTTTTACTACAGCTGCTGAACCCCAGTGCTCAAAAGTGCCCATGTGTTCTCCATGTGGAAAGAAAATATATGGTGGGGAAAGGAAGAGAGATGGGTAAAGTAAAATTCTGGTAGGATCAGTGTGACAAGCAAGGAAATCAACAGCACTGGAAACTCATCTTTCGTAATACCTCTATTCTCAAGATTTTTCTATTCTTCATTAAAAACATGAAAGTACTCCTCAAGCATGTGTAATAAAACCTTGGTATGTTCAGAATTAACTAGAGGATTGTTAATGAGCCACTACTAGCAGGTTGTAAAATAATACATTTTAGGCAATAAGTACAAAAGGTGGAAGTGTTAATCTACGTGACATCATGACACGCATTCCATCTGCTGAGGTGTAAAATGCACTGGCAATGATCCCTGGTATATAAAATTAATCTTTAATTTGCTTTACACAGCAAGACATCTTAATCTGAAAAATATCTCAATTACAATCAGAAACAGCTTGAATTTTTTGTCTTTCATGGTGGAACAGTTAGCTTCCATGTATTTGTACTGTGCGTAAGAATCACATGAATTGTAGACTTTCAAAGTGGAGGCGAATTCAGATCCCTAAAATTATGATTACTATGAGAAATAGGGAATTACTGTTCTCTTTCTCTCTACAATAAAAGAATTAGAAGGCACAGAATAAAATAATTAGGATGTAGATTAAACCAAAACTAAATATGTCTCTGCACATGTTAGGTTGTAGGATTCCCCTGCACAGAACTTGTGCAAACCTAAGTTTATACAGATCCCAAAAGCAAGGAGGCATTCATGGAAGAAGAAATCTATTGAACACCGTTAAAACAAAAACCACCTCTAGGTCAGGAGCTCTCTGAGCTGCAATTTGCAACAGGCTAGGCAAGTACTCTGGGACAAGAACCAGTAGATGTTTGTTGTGCTCTTACACTCTTCTTCAGCTACCTGCTCTGAGCCAGTGGTTTGTATGGATCTTCACCATTCTTAGCAAAACTAAATGCCCACTGGGAAAAGAAAAGAGCTGGAGAAAAAAATAAATTATTGTGGAGCACAAAACCCAAACCTATTAGATCCTGTCACAGACAGTTGATGGGGACAATGTACTTGTGGCTGGAGCTGTTTTGTTTGGAAAATTATGCTTATAGAAAAATGGAATTGATTCTTGGATCCATTCAACAACTCTGGTTTTCTGGAGAGTGTCATTTCTCTCTCAGCTTGCAAAATTGAAATATATAATCAAATAAATTATATCTATCTGTGAAATACATAGGTTGTTGCCAGAAATCCTTTGAGAAAATGATTGGAAAGGGTGGGGGAGGAACAGGAATGCATTTACCTTGAGTGTAAATATAAGCTTAAGAGAAAGACATGCAGAGACTATGAAATGATTAAAATGTCTGCATTCATACTAATGAAATATCATCCATGCTGTTACTGCAGGTGAACATGACCTTGGTCTGAACACTAAAGCTTGCACAGTTTAGAGGGCAAAAAAGCTGTATTACAAACGAAAGTTGTACTCCTTAACTTGTCAATCCTGTTACGCTTTCCCAGTGAATCATGGGACAATACTGAATGCTGATGTCCTCCTGAACTCCAGAATACACTGTGATTCTCTGGGCTTTTGAAAAAGTAGCAGAGAAACATCTCTGTGTAAGCAGAACAGAAGTGATTTCTGGTGAAAATGCCTCTCTCTAGAAAGAGCTGCTTAGTGGGACTGAGGGGTTTTGATGTGCACTGAGGTGAGATGGTTGGGATCACGCATAAGGAATGCTTTCTGAGTTTGCCTCTGTGTGCTTGCTGATCAAGGGGCTGGGTCTTAAAAAACCTCTCAGTGAAGAACAGCCCCAGCACAGACCCATGTACAGCCCATCATGTGTGTGGATGTGGGGTCCAGGACCAGCTTTGCTTAGTTTATGTTGTGCTTCACTATGTCTTCACCAGTGTATGGATTTTATGTGCTTTGTGGAAATCAGCTGAGATGTTCTGCTTGTGGCTGCATTTGATTTTTATGAATGGTGTCAGTTTAGCATATGCTGACAGCTGACAACCCAGAGGCACTCCTTGGTACTTGTCTATCCCGAGTACTATGCTTATCATTTTTTAATGCTATGGCCACTATTTTAAGGTTGATAGCACCTCTGGATGTGAGATGCTCCCATGCATCCCATGCAGTTGGACTTCTCTCAGAATTGAAGCCACTATTGCATTCAACCCTACACTGAATGAGCCTGGCCATAAGAAGAATCTTTGTTCAATTCCTGAAACAGTCCTAAATGATTTTGTTGCTTTCTTTCTCAAACCCATATGTTCCCACAAAACTTATGCAAACATTAAAAAAATGAGAAAGAATGAAATATCAAGTGCCTTAAACTTACAGAAGCCAGTCGACTGCAATGATCAGAGTAACATCTTCAGCGGGCAGGCCGACAGCACTCAGCACAATCACCATGGTGACAAGTCCGGCTTGGGGGACACCTGCAGCTCCAATGCTGGCTGCTGTAGCTGTAACACTACATTCCAAATAAAGCCCAGAAAAGGCATTCAGAATACATGCTGCTCACAGAAACTCTATTTTCTAGCACAAATAAGCTTATTTCAGGCTTTGTAAGAAAGAAGCCTGAATGTTCCAGTTTTCCTCCCCAATAGCATCTATTGAAAGTCTGGTGACAAGTTTATGGGACAAGTCATGTATAGATACTGTCATGGTTACACTGCAGAGTAACAGGCAACGCATGACTAAGAAGCAAACTGGACAGATCATAGCTAGAGGCTGAGTTGGGTTTGCAAGTATCTGCAGTGGAAGAGTAATGGCAATTATCAGAACAATGCTGTACACCAGCTGCTTGCTCTGGCTCATCCTACCTCCTTGTCAGGTTGCACAGGCAAGGCCTTGGACCAAGAATGAGAACGTTTCTGTTACTTCTTGTGCTGTGAATGATAGTTTCAACTTTCCCATGGGGTATCCAAAGTTAATGTAAAAAAACCACCTCCAACAAAATGCATGTGATGAATTTAGTCTTACCTAATGGTAACAATTTGGCCAATATCCAGTTCTAAGTCATTCAGTTGTGCAATAAATACAGCTGCTACTGCTTCATAAAGAGCTGTGCCATCCATGTTGATGGTAGCTCCAACTGGAAGAACGAATCTGGTAATTCTTTTGTCGATTAAATTCTTTTGTTCTGCACAGCGGAACGTAACAGGCAAAGTTGCTGAACTGGCACAAAGATAAACACATAAGGATAAGTGCAGGCAACAGCATAATATTTACCTTATCTTTCCTTTTCCTCAGAGCCTGATTTGCTCTAAGACTCTTAACAGAGATCTAAGGCAGACAAGAAGGCTGCACCATGAAAAAGCAAGGTAACTTTTGTGATTTCTTCTAATAATAGAGAAATAAAGTCTTAGTCATCCTCAAAATTACATGGTAAAATCATCATGATGTATTTAGTCAGAGAAACAGTGCAACAGTGTAAACTGTAGCAAGTCTGCGGTTGGCAAAGAGCTGTCTCCTACTGGGAAGGCAGACTCTGGTGTGCACCAGCGCAATCTAGGGTGCCCCTTTGGGTACTACAGAAATAATGATGAAAGTAATATTTCAACATCCAGGGGACTGAGAATTGTCCAGGTGAAATCAGGGTATGTAACAAAGTAGCGATAAAATCAGAGCACAAACAATGCAATTACTCTAAGAACATTTCTTTTGTTTACCTGGAAGAAATCATGAGGGCTGTCAGAAGTGCCTGAGCCATCCCCATGGCAAACCGAAAAGGATTTTTTCTTACTATTATTAAGTAGATCAGTGGCAAAATTATAGTGGAATGAATTGCAAGTCTGCAAAATAAAATGGACTAGTTAAGCAAATGGATCCATCTAATTGCCTTGTTTTAATAAGATGGTGATAACAAGTATTTTTAGTTCTGTCCTCAGGTATACCTGCCAAACACTAACCGTGACTTTAGCAACAGCTGTGTCCAAAATTTAAAGAGTATACCTTTCTTTAAAAAAAGCAGACTAATGCTGTTCTACACTTTCTTTTGGAAGGGAGAGAGATATTATTAATTGTCTCTTTTTCTGAAGTCAAACAAGAATTAGCTAATATATTGGCAATAATTTTAAACTGACGAAGACAAGAAAACTAAAGTAATAAATAATATTTATAAACTGATATGGAGAGGATGACTTGAAATAATGCTGAAACACTCCACTCTCCTGCAAAATCCTTAGAATGCAGACTAGAGACAAACCAGGTGACTCTTCTAAGTTTATCTGCCTTTATTATGGAACACTTTTTGGAATTAAAGGTAAGTATCATTCCCAGAGACAGATGAAGCCCATATCTTTCTGCAGAAACTTCAAACATAATCCTATAAAAAATATCTGCACTCACTTTGTTGAAAACTGCGTAAGCTTAGGTCTATAATTAAAATGTAGTGAGGTATTTCAGAATGTACAAATAAGACTTATGTAGTCTCACCAACTTAACAACAATGATTTAAGATGCTGAAATACTGTCTTTGGAAACTATTGCTTTTTAAAATTAAGTGTGTTTACATGCAAAAGAATCAAACTGTCTTCTTGACTTCAGCTGTTCAGGTGTATTTGCCTGGATATTTGGGTGGGTCTCAGGGACAAATTAATCCTTCAACTTGTGCATTAATTTTGAATATTGTGTATTAATCCTGAAGGCATATGAATGCAGAGCTTTGTGGGCATTAAGGTTAGAGGAAAAGAGTCTTTTCTGAGTATATCTGAAATGAAATAAATGTGAAGGGTCTGTGAGATATTTCCTGTGTTCCAAGGTCACAAGCAATTATAGCAACATCAGTTTCTTGTGGAAAGAAGTCATAGCCTGGAAACATAAAGCCTAGAGCTGTTGTCATATATGACCTTGGGGTTTTTAGTCTGTCCTCACAAGATGTTCTTGTGAATGTTACTGTGTTGTAATAGTGCTTTATGATTTCAGAGCAGCTGATAAAGATAGTGATAAATCATGGTAGCATTTCTTCTGCCAAAAATAGGCAATTAAGACAGCAGTAGCCACAGTACGGAAATCCACAACAGCACCAAAATTCACCCACAAAACCTAACTAGTTGTTTCCCTAGAAAAGCTATCTTTTTAAAAGCAATAAGCATTAAAGTTTTAATTCTGTTTGTGAACAAATTATTTATTTAGTGGAATGCACATAACAGTATGCAACATATATTGATAAAATCTTGCAAAGATCTCTAGAAAGAAACATAACAATTTACACAATGGTGCCTGAGAACAAAATGAATTCTGAAGAACATACAGAAAAAAAAAGTAGTGGCATGAGTGTCATTGGGTGTCTTCACAAAACATTGATGAGAATAAACATTTAAAGTATGTCTATGTCTAGAAGCATACTGGCTTCCAAATAGCTATTTTGAAACGTTTAGATTTGCACTTTTTTTAGAGGCAGCATGCACATAGCATCTAAAATAAAGTATTTGTGCATATCTGCTTTGCTACTACTGATTTCCATGAAAAAAATCTGAAGTAATATTTATTTTCACGCATAAAATCCAACACAGCAAGCAGCAGACATTTTTTATATCAAAAATCATAATCAGCAACTGAAAAGAGAAATTCTAATAGCATTCAATTTTAAGATAGGAATAATCTTGTCCCTCAGAATCTGTCATTCCTTATAGTGTCCAGAGATGCAGCTGCCTTGCTACTTTCAGAAGAGACAAAGGCACAGGCAAGTGAGTCTGTTTGCTGTAGGTTCCTTTTCATTTTTTCCACCTCAGTATAAGAGTCCCCTGGCACTTATATTATGCCTCCTACTTTGATTTTCCTCCCCTGTGACTGCTAACATGCCCTCATCCTGACACTGCAACCATTAAAAGTGAGAGGCTGCAGATATTTAGTGGCCAATTGGAGCAGAGGCACTGGGGGAAGTCTGTTCCCTCATGGTGACCTGAATGAGACAAAGACTGAGATGTGTTGCAGATGATGGTGGGTGAGAACTGGTAGGACTGAAAATGTGAAAGGTCATGCTGGGAAGGTCATGCTTCCCATAAAGCTGGGAAGAAGGTGAGATAGAAGATGAGCTGAAGAGGGAAGATAAAGGAAAGGAGGAGAAGGATAAAACACACCAGCCCTGATGCTCTTGCACATTTTTTTGGATAGAGAATACAAGAAATAAGTTTAAGATAACCTGTAATTCTCAGGATCAAGCTTAAAGGGAGTATTATAGACAGCTACAGAAGATGCTGATGAACAGAACACACGGCAAACAGACAAGGTCAAGGAAATGAGGATGAAAGCCAGAAAGATGGTGGGAACAGCACTGTTTAAGAAACCAAAACAAAGAATGAGCACAACTTCTCCTGGTTGCTGACAGGTGGGAAAAAGGGTATTCCTGCAAGCTGGAAAATGTATAACAAGCAGCACCTTTTCCCTGCAGCCTATAGCCTTGTGTGTAAGTTGTTGTCTTTGCTTCTGTGATCTGATTACAACATACTCTCCCTGATGGTCAGTTTTGAGAGAATGTTTTGCTGTTAGCCCTTCTCCACAACATGTTGAGCATCACCCACTGTAGGCCACCCCATAAGAGACAGAAATGATGCAGAGGTCTATCCTAGCACCCATCAGGGAAAAAAGTGGCATGTGCAAGAGAGTTCAGTGAAACTGAGACTTTTTCTCTCCAAGGTTGTAAAGTTGGACTCCCTTACTGTATACAATCTTTTTGATGGCATATGGGAACTTAGATTTTTTGTGCCTGTCAAGCCTATGGTTACCAGCTAAATGGGAGATTATATGTGGTGGTAGTCTAATTTCCAATTGAAGTACTCTGGAAAAGGCACTGTGTCTTCACAAACATCTTAAGGAAGATACACCCTGTTACAGTAGAATTAGTAACCATTAATAGATAAACAGTCATAAAACTTGTTATCTGATCTAAAACTGAAGTCAAAGGACAGTAATAATCCATCCAACATCCTACTCCTCTGAATCAGTTGGAGTTAATAACATGGAAAACCTGCAGAAGCGATAGAGCATCATCCTATAAATGAATTCTACCTAGTGCTCATGGTCTCATTTACAACTTATATAGAAAATATTAGTCTCCTGATTTACAGTCTCTTGGTAAACATACAATTTTGCAACCTTTAAAAATTTATTTTCCAAGAAACACAAAAAAATGCATTATGCAGTAGTCAAAGATAATATGCACGCATCTCTAAGATTTTGAAAAAGTCATGATTCAGTGCTATTTCTGGAGCTGTAATTTTTACTTAGAAAGTCATTATATCTCAAATGATTTTTGAAAAGCTAGTCCAAACATACTGGCTCATGCAAGAAACAGAAGGACTTTGAAATAAGTATGATTTTCTAGCAAAGATTAATGCAAAAAACCTCAGATCCTTCTTGACTGTTTATAGGGAAGTTTGCATTTAAGACTAATATATCATCCTTTTCTCTGCTTGGTTGTCAGGAAGCATGTGAATAATGTTTGAAGAATAGCATGCATATACATAAAGTGGGGGGAAATAATCTCTTGAACAACTTTGGATCTAGCCTCTAGACAAAACATGAATAAATCCTTAGTATACTGAAGGAATTACAGGTGTGGATGCTAAGGCAATGAACCAAGACAGCCTAGAAGTTATGCTTCACTGAATTGGAAATAGAAATTTAAATGCATTTAACTTATTGGGACTATAATATCCATTTATCTATCAAAAGGGTTCTTTGTAGGATAGTCTTCAGAGATATATAATGATCTAGTATTATAATCTGTATCACTTGGAACAGTTAAGCTGCCCCTTCTAAGGCTCCGTATCTGCAAAGCTCCACATTATGCAGGTGTAACTTCCACCCCAGACTGTTCTACACAGCCAAGGGTCTAAAAAAAGAACAGAGGAAATGTTTTGATGCTTGGCTAAGTTATTCAGATAACAACTGCTGCTTCTGCAGCACAAGGAGTAACTAACAAACAGTGCAATCCTCAGGGCTTCTCTTGATGGCAGTTATTTGCTCTGGACTGAGGTGGAAGGAGTTGGTTTCGTCTGGCATCATTTATTGTGCACTGCACTTACGATGCATTTGTATGGGCCAGTGGAGCTGGGCCTATGCTGGGACACCTTGGGCCCACACGTCCCATGGAAGTTCCCAACTTAATCCAGATATTCATGTATTTTCAATAGGCTGGAAACCCCCAATAAGCCATAATTCACAATCTCACCCTTTTCCAACTACTTCTAGTATCTAACAGAAGCATTACGACTCTCAAAAAATACAATATTATCTGTTTCAGCACCAAGCTGAGAAGATGAAACAACGAACACAAGTACAGCCTTTGGAGTTGTTTTGTTTTAGAAGGCAAGGCAGTGACCTTTTAAAATGAAATACGCATTCAGTGAAACATGCATTCATTAATACATACATTAAAAACATCCTCACCCAGACTCGCATAATTTTCACTGACAAGAATTTTTGTCTCTGTCCTGGAAGAGGCTGGGTATTGTGGATAATTGAGTTGTAATCAACTGAGCTCTAAAACCTGCACATATTTAAATTTATCTTAAAGAAATTACATACCCACTTAGTACTGTAGCCATATATAGACCCAGTTTACGAAACATTTCCCAGTCCTCAACTTCTATTATCTTCCCAGCAATTAAAAACACGATACCAATTGGCATATACCTAGAAAGCAAAAATAAAACCATTAAAAATGCATTCTGAGAAATACAGTGTGCTCACCACAGAATAATTTCTCGCACAGTATAAGTTTTTACATCATATGGAAGATTTTTTTTATATTCTACTACAAAACATATATATTTTTTTTTAATATTCCATTATACACATTACTTCACTCACTTGCAGCAAGCCTACAACAGAGGTAATGAATAAAGATTAGAAATCAGAGTAAAGGAAACCCTATGCATAGTCTGTCAAGTACTGCATGACCCAGTGCCACAGAATACCCAGAAGCTGGGAAGGAGTGTGGGCTTTGTCCTACTGCAGCAAATGCTTATGCATAGTCGTAAGCTTACTTGGAGGTGGAAGTTTGCAGGGCTCAGACCAGTATCTCTGCATTCTGCAACCACACACAGATAGGAAATATCTTGTGTGCTTATAGCAGCTGCCTTCCAGTACTGGGGGTTATATGTGTGTTACCCACACAGAATAAGAGTGATTTTAGTATGTTGGGATAGTGCAGTCATTAGTGTGTTGCCTGATGGAGAAGTCCCCATCCCCCAGTAAACTTACACAACGCCATGCCTTACAGATGTGAATAGCTGCATAGGCTACTGCCTACAGAAAATTCAAGGCAAAAATCAAGATTTATGCTAGCACCAGCTCGACTGCATTCCTTTTGGTACCAGCAAGCGTGTTGCTACAGAGACAAGTTGCCACTTCAGAGCTTTGAGTAGTATGAATTAATCTATAAATGTGTGTATCTATAAAATGTATCCATTTTAAAGTATAAATTTATAAAATGTGTGTGTGCACTACTTCACAAAGAAAATAGTACCTTGTCCCTGTGCAAAGCAGGGTCTCCCAGTTCCTTCTGAGCCCTAAACTTGGTGAAAGAAGAACTAATTCCTTATACTGTCAGCATCAAACTACCTTATTCAGGACAACAATTCTCCCATCTGTAGAAACACAAAAAGCCTATAACACCAGCTTCAGGCACATGCAAGACAATGGAGAGTCAGCTTATGGGTAGAATCCTGTATTTGTGGCATGTGCTAACTCTTGGGTCTCGTTAGTGTCAATTTGATGCAAAGCCTGCCAATTTCATAGGGCTGTAACTCAGCTGGGGAACTGAACCAGCTACCAAGCACAGGACAGGTTATAGAAACTAGTTTATCAAGAAGTGTGCAACTAAACCCTTGAGAGGTTTACTGTTTTTTACATCCTCATTGTGCTGTGATGGAAGAAAAATCTGTGAAAGGGCCAGATCTGATAACCTACTGTTTGTGCAAAATGTACATATGAGCAGAATTTTCTAGTAAATGACACAAGACACTCCACATATAAGATCAAACTCTGGAAAGGAGTGTGTGCTTGTAGTCCTAATCCTTTAATTGTGATCTGCATGGACAAAAGCTCTGTGAATAGCTATGAAGTTCAGCCAAACACTGTCAGGTGAGTTGCTACATTTTTAAATTGTTTTTCCTGTCTAAGAATATTACGAAAGAATATTGTGAGAATATTGTCTCACAAAACCCATTAACAGAAGGTAAATGATGTTAAGTTCTATTTTGCATACCATTTTGAGTTTTGCTCTGTGCTATGGCTTGTATATTAATTTGTATTTCTAAAAGAACTTAGCTCCAAGGACAGCTATCCTGTGAAAATAATGGCTATCATGGAATAGTATTCAAGACTGAGAAGGGCATATGGGTGGTAATGTTTTACAGTCCTCAACTGACTAGTGCAATTGTACCGGTTTGATATAAACCTCTAGCAGGAATGTCTGAAAACCTCAGGTTTCTTAGGTACCAATAGGACTGTTTCTTTACTATATAGTAAGTGGAAGCCCTGTCTCATTTCCTCAAAAGGATCAAATTCTGTAGAAAGGAATCTTTTTACCAACGTTTCGTTTGCTGTAAAGCACTATACAAAATCAAACATGCAACATGAGTCTGCTCCTATCTCTTCAATGACAAAACCCACTTCAAGAAATTGTTAGAAAAAGCCAGTACGTCCTTGGACTTACCACATAATTATCTGAACAATTCTCATTGTAGCTTCATTCAGTGCATTGAAAAAATCCACCAGCACTTGTCCTTTCTCTCCCATTTTCCCAATAACCATTCCAAACACAAGACAAAAGACGATCAACCCCAGCACATTGATGCCATCAGAATACATGCCCACAATTCTGTATTCTTGGGTTTTGTTCTATAGAATAAAGAGGGGGGAAAGTTACTATGTGAAACCACTGACCTGAAAGAGTTCTAAAATGAAAACACATTTAGATCTTTCTTTGAAAAGACACAGAGCTCTTCCCCAGTCACTCTATTCCCTTTCTGGCAGTGCCAACTGGGCAAGTTCAGGAATGAAGGTAGAATCAAATTGTCTTTGAAAGATTTGTATTTTAAAGCTATGCAAGGATCTGACCAAACCCTAGCAAGTGATAAAGCACCCCTTAATTTATGTTGCCCTTTCTACACAATTCTCACACAAAGTATGGTAAAATCTAGGTATCCACAGTTATGCCTTCAATATACTCAAGATTTACTCCCTACTGTGGAGAATAAAATACAGCTGGTGTAGAATCCTTGTGGTTATTTCTGAGCAACTTGAGGGTCTGTGTCTGGTAAGACAAATAGTCTATTGCATAAGAACTGAGACAATGGTGTCCAATTTTGCCCCAGGTTTAAAACCTATTGTTCAGCAGAAATCAGTGAAATTGCATAATTTATAGCAGAATTGCATACACATAGCATAAAAATCCTACTAAATAGGTAGGTATTCACACATTCCTCTGTGTTTGTGCAGTATGAACATATGAAGGAAAGGGTGCAATTCTTCACTACATCCTGCTTCAGGACTCAATTAATGTCTTTTCATACATATTGTGTTCCCATACTCTCATTACTATGAGATTAAATTTGGAAAGAGTATAATAAAATGCATATTGATTTGGTACTGTTCATAGTTCTGTGTTCATATATTATTGAATTCCTTTCTCTGTCTACTCCAGTGCAAGTCTAGGCTTTATAAACCATCAGTACCCATAAGCCTTTCACACCTCTAATCAGAGGCTTGTTAGACCTCTTGTTCACTTTCATCTCTTTACATTTTCTTTGGTACAGTAACAAACTATTAATTAACAAATGCCTTCCATTGTTTTGCTTTCCATCAAAAAATATTATGGTTTTCCATTCCTTTCTTTCTGTCGTACTCACAGTTATTTCATTGCTGCTCAAACATCTCATGCTGGTATACATTCAGCCTTTCCACAGTGAACGTTATCTTTAATTTCTCAGCACACTGAAAATTCATTAGCATGTACATTTAATGTGTATATGAATTGATTATTTTCTTACCTCACCTATTATCTTTGAACTGCTTAATTACATGTAGAGTCTTCTAGTGTTCTTAAACCTAGTTGAAGATCCTCATAATCACCTCTAGCATTTACTTATTAAGTTTTGTGCCCTTGTTAAAAATCTATTTATGTACCATTTCCTTCCTTTTCTCAATTGCTAACTACATCAACTAAGCCAAATTTATTCTATGTTCTTTCTTCCCACTTTATACATTATGTAGGAATACAACAATAAAGTTCATACCTCTGAAGCCTCTGCTGTCGCAGCAGTTGTAACAGGTTCTTCTGTAAATGTGGAGATATTTTTATCCATGACAGTTGTAGCTTCAACTTTTTCACGTTTGGTTTTATACTAGAAACATAAAAAAAACCCCAACAAAACAGAAGTACTTAGAAACATGAGAAAACTGAAGAATGGACAAAGGCCTAGCCTTTGCTCAGTGAAAGGGAAAAATGAACCAATCTGACTTGAAGGTAGCAAACACAGAGAAACACATTATTTCCCAATTCATGTGAGCCATCATGGTTCTGTACTTCAGATGCTGTATATCAAGCGAGTCACAGAAAAATATGCTATGAGTTCTGTTCCCCAGGTTCACGAGTGCCCTGTGGATCTGGCACAGTCTTGTGGGGATAAGACAGAGCTCCTGACAATGGCAAGAGGACTTTTTGCTGGGACAAACAGTCTGGAGAGAATTGCTGACAGTCACCCCTGGAGAGGTCTGTAGAGCTGATACAGCCAGACCCCTGGTAATGTGGTTAGCATAACTAACACCATTATATAAGGCAAACAGCCATTCTCTGTGGCCAAGCTGGTCACTTATTAGTCTCCTTTCCCCTTATTATCAAACCCTGAAGACCCTGCGCAACCAGTAAACAAACCAGATTTCTTCTTCGCCTTCTTGCTGGCCTCAAGGTTCCGGGGTGCCTGATTAACTACTGATCTCCTTACCAGCCTTGAAGGTCCCAGGCACCTGGCCACCTGGTGCTGTTGATGATCCTGCCACAGAACAGGGAATTGTAACAGCACCCAGAGCACTGTCCATAAAATCAAACAGTTGCAAGTCCTAAGGGAGAACTTGGACCAGAACTGCTGCTGCACGGTGAGACCCAGGATCCACCAGTGGCCAGGGATGTCTCCACTGTCACCTGCTTTCTCAGAGGACTGAGGGAGTGACTTGGTTTGTTGTTTTGTTTTTTTAATGTTTTTCAAGTCTAGATTATGACTGTTATGTTGATAAGCAAACCAAGTATTAAGGTTTGACTCAATATGCAGAGTCCAGATGATTAGAAATCATAAGCTAAGTGGTGCTATTATAAAATTGTACTACACGGATTCTGCTTATAGAAACTCTGTGCTATTCTGATTACAAAACTGTGCTATACTACTAATAATATCCTCTTAATAAAGCTTTAATTGTAACTAGGATTTATTGCTATCATCATTCTGCCATGGATCCCTAAAAGAACCTGTCTGTCCCCTTAGTGTTACATGACAGTAATTATCATATGAGGAAAAACTACATTAAGTTTTATAAACTGGAAATACATTCAGTGCTGTGCACAGCAGCACAGTTAACACCATCCTGGGTTCTGCACTTGGGCCACAACAACCCCCAGCAGCGCTACAGGCTTGGGGAGCAGTGGCTGGAGAGCTGCCAGTCAGAGAGGGACCTGGGGGTGTTGATTGACAGCCGGCTGAACAGGAGCCAGCAGTGTGCCCAGGGGGCCAAGAAGGCCAATGGCATCCTGGCTTGTGTCAGCAATAGCGTGGCCAGCAGGGACAGGGAAGGGATCTTACCCCTGTACTGGCACTGGGGAGGCCGCACCTCGATTCCTGGGTTCAGTTTTGGGCCCCTCACTCCAAAAAGGACATTGAATGACTCGAGCATGTCCAGAGAAGGGCAACGGAGCTGGTGCAGGGTCTGGAGCACAGGTCGTACGGGGAGCGGCTGAGGGAACTGGGGGTGTTTAGTCTGGAGAAGAGGAGGCTGAGGGGAGACCTCATCGCCCTCTACAGCTCCCTGAAAGGAGGCTGCAGAGAGCTGGGGATGAGTCTCTTGAACCAAGTAACAAGCGACAGGACAAGAGGCAACGGCCTCAAGTTACACCAGGGAAGGTTTAGACTGGATATTAGGAAGCATTTCTTTCCAGAAGGGGTTGTTGGGCGTTGGAATGGGCTGCCCAAGGCAGTGGTGCAGTCCCCATCCCTGGAGGTGTTTAAGAGTCGGGCTGACATAGCGCTGAGGGATCTGGTGTAGTTGAGAACTGTCAGTGTGAGGTTAATGGTTGGACTGGATGATCTTCAAGGTTTTTTCCAACCTAGATGATTCTGTGATCTTCTGGGAAAGGTTAACTATTAACATTCAAATGTCAGACAAACTGGTAGGCAGCTGCTGGGGAAGACAATAAAGGGAAGCAGAGGGCATCACAAAAACCAGTTGATATATTTATAGATAATGATGACTGAATTTGAAGTAAATCTGATATATAGACAGCAGTTTCCTCTTTTATCTTGCAAATCTCACTTTTTCTGAAAGATGTGTCAAATAGACTCTACCAATTAGCTGTCTTTTCCTTTAGATCATCAGGTCTAGCAATGGACATCAGATGTGGGACACAATGGGGTGAGGGCTGAGTTATGCAGATTTCATCAGACACTGAGGGTTTTTAAAAACAAGGAAATAGATGCTCATGACATGTTTCTTCTAACTCTGCCTGTACCAAAAGGAAAAGTCTTGTCTTCTGCACTCCTTGGTTTCTGCACCCAGCTCCTAAACAGTGTCTTTTTGCAAGGAATGATCAAGGAGTTAATAGTTGATAACAGTGTATATCAAAATAGAAATGAAACCAAGATGTTCTAAAGTCTTTTTATGGGAGATTAAGGTAATTCTGGACTTCTCAGAAATAATTGTTAACTGATGTAGTTTTTGGGGACATAAAAGAAGAATAATTTGTAGTTAACAATGAAAACTACAGTAGCAAACAGGAATATTCAAACTCACCTGTTGAAAACAGGCTTGGACAAGGTTTTCTGGGAACATATTCCTGTTAAAAAATAGAGGCATTTCAATATTATAGCATACTAAGAACAAGATCTTTATATAAACAAAATGATAAAATCTGCTGCTTGAAAAACAGGTCAGGTTGTGTTCCTTTATTCAGAAAGCAGTGTATTTAGCACCATCCAATATAAAGTCAAAGAAATTAAGGGTTCAGAACTCCCAAAGACCAGATGACTGTTTTCCTACTGTTGAATTTTTGGGCTTATTTTTCAGTATTTGACATTTCTTTTGGTAAGCTACTGAACTCAGTGTTTTTTTTCCCTGCTGCATCATCTCCCACCATTTGCATGAGAAATACAGGACATACCATTTTTATAGGATTTGTCAAATACAGGCAGAAAAAAACTAACAACCCTTACAAATTCTGTGCTGGAAGAATCAGATTATTTGGTGTGCTCTACTGTAGTCTTTAATTCAGAAATTAATCTTGGCTGATGGAAGATTCACATGTGTTATTCCAGGGTCAAGAACCATTTTTGCACACTGAAAAATTAGGAAATTAAATCAGAGGCAGTGCAATCCAGTTGTGTGCCTGTGTTCCAACTGCCAATTTCAGATTCAAATGATTGAAGAAAAAAGCATTAGTTAGATATTTATTGAATGCCTAGTCCAGTGCAGAAAAAGGCATTTTGTACATTGAAGCTGAAGTCTTCATCTCCCTTCCAGATCTTTCACAAAATTCTGCCTTTATTTTTCAAGTTTTTAACCCAAAATTTCTTCAAAGGCACGAGTAGTTTGTACAAGCCTGGGATTATCCTTAATCTTTACAAGACTCTGTGGGTTTGGATCTTAAATCTGATGAATATAAATAAGTAGGAAAAGTAACTATAATTCATTTAAAAGATAATTTCTGATCTCAAACTCCTAATTTACAGTCTTAAATTAGTTTACAAGAAGTTGAGCTATAAACTGTAGCAAAAACCTAAACTACTCTGAATTACAATTCATGCCACTTCTTACTAGAGGAAGACTTCTTTATGTATGGAACTACGCTAGCCCTGTGAATATGTGTGGAAAAGTTCACGTGGAAGTTACTGGTAACAGACTATTAGGTTTTATAATGCAGCTGATTGCACAGTTCCCCTCACCGATTCCTGGGCAAGTGATCATGAGGAATGAAATGAGACATCCAAGGAGCTGCTGTTCTGGCCATGCACAGGTAGGAGGGGATAGAGGCTGGGAAGAGCTGTGCATTGTTGAACATGGGGCTTTGGGGTTGAGAACTGTTATCTATCTCACATAAAAACCTCAGAGAAATTGAGTTATTCTCAAAGAGGTTTACTTCAATCTGTGCTAGAGCAGAGATGTCCCAGATGACAGTAGACACTTGCTATTAAATAGGACAGTGACATTTTCAAGGCAGATATATACATATAAAATACATATTTTACAAATGTCAAAGAACTGTGTGTTTGGAGTTGCATCTGCAAATGCCAGTCACATTTCTTGAAATAAAAAATGCTGAGCAAGCCAGTTTTAGATACATGACGTTTGATTCTACAAGTAAAAATTCTACAAAAAGAAAACAGTGAGCACAAATAGTGATACAGAGCAGAGACTAATTGCAGCTGTAGAAAAAAAATCCACAGAGCATTTTTGAGGGAACTATTACTTAGCCACTATTGAAAATGCAGCCCTTATATGTGAATATTTTTCTAATTCCTTAAATGTGCTAGCTCTGAAAACCTGCTCAAGTCTTCTGCAGATGGGCTTCCTTTTCTAAACACTTTAAGCATCGAGCATTTCCAGGATGTTGATGGGGAAAGGCTTATTGTAAGGTTGCCTTAGATACTGGTGATACAGCAAACTTGTTGACTGTGCAACTCTGAGAAACCATTGCATACTGAATCTGTTGCTCTGCATCCTGCCTTGAGGAGGGGAAATAGAACACTACAATTTTAGGTGGTTCTGAGTGACCCAGAAGCTGCCAGTCAGTAACCTGCCAACCATTCAATCCTTTCTGGATATTTTCTTCATAATAGGTAAATCTTGCATGTCAATTTCTGCAGAGGGAATGTTTGTTGTAATCAGTTTATTAATCAAAGTCTATGATGTAATGAGAAACTTTTATAAGAAACTGATTTGAATATACTCTAAAATGACTAACCTGTTGGAATAAAAGTTATTCTCTCCTTACTCATCCAAACAACATTAGAAAATATTTTTACTGTATTACACATCACAACTTTATTTTGTTTGTTTGGACTTCTGTCACAAAGATATGGAAACTAAAAAAGAAAGCCTCACCTGATCAGATCCAGCAGGGCATCAACAGTACTGACTTCTGGGGTACTGCCCACTCTGTCAATCTCATTTGCTGATTGAGGCACTCCAGGTTTAATGGTCACAACTAAGACAATCCCTGCAAAAGGAGAACCAGAAGAAGAGCTCACAGTGCAAGCAGAGGCATTGGCACATCCTGCCTCAGTGAATCCTGTGTAGCTAAATTAATCTTGACCTAAACTCACTAAATGCAGGGTACTTACGCAGGACTCTTCAGAAAAGAGAAGTCTACAGGTGTAGTCTTTAAATGTGTGGGCTCCCCCAGAACAGGAGCTACTTGCAGCCTTGCCACTGGATTTGGGCACTCTACCGTTGCTTTTACATGTATGGTACTAAATAAACTACTGCTCACCAAGAGGGTAAATTGATTCAGCTGGGCTTCAGCTGAAGTGCTCTGCAGCTTTTGAATGGTGATATTTTGAACAGTTACTTGCCCTTCCCCTTATGCATCTCTTCTTGTTACTAACTAGCTTTCAGATACAAATACAAGTGTGTTGTCCTGTGACCCCAATGTACAACAGGATGTTTTGGTAAAGTTAGTTAGCAATGAAATTACATAAGAGAAGGGCTTCAGAAACAGACTGAAATAAAAAATTAGGGGCAAGAAATACCAGCTTTGACCTTCTAAATACTGAAATCAATGACATATTTTCCGTTTATATTAGTGGCTTCGTTTTAAGCATTTTTACTATTACATGAAATACTAGGCCTTTCCAAATGTACTTTCCCCCCCCCCTTCCCCCTCTGCCAAATTCAAACAAACCTAAAGCAAATGGAACTAATGAAATCTCAGTGTAGAGAGAAAGAAGCATGTGGATGACCCTTCAACCAGTCAGGATCAAGGCTTCCTAATGGCAGCTGTGAATAAAAGCAGAACCAAATTTGTAGAACTCTGCACAATGAAACAAGTAATATCATAGTATCATAGAATAATGTGAAATAGCAGGGACCTCTGGAGATTGTCTGGTTTAACCTCTCTCTCAGGGTAGGGATAATTTCAAAGTGAGATTCACAGTAATGTTAGTCTTCATTAATTTTCCTCACTATGTATTCACAGAAAATTCCTAGCCAGATCAGATAGCCTAACGAGTGTAACCACAGTGATATATTATTCTCTGTGAAGCAACCTCTAGAAATTAATCTGGCCCTACATGTCTGAATGTGATTCTTTTTTTATTGTTGAATACTGCTCTGCTTTACAAGTAGACCACATACAATGTACATTTTATCCTTCAGATTAACACATTTCTTTTTAGTGGGTGATATCTAGGCACAGTATCCACTTAGACTCAACAACATGCAAAGATAAACCACAAGCTACATGACAACTGACAGAGGAGAGTTTAATTTTCCTTATTTAAGAAGGAAGGTTGAAGATGTTTGTTTAAGCAAATATGGAAGATAGGTTTCTTGTAGGGTATTAACTTTCTGCAAGAGGAGATGTGGACTTCAGAGAGGTAGGAGTTGAGCCTGGCAGTGACAGAAGGGACAAAAACCTTCTAGAAAGGAAATGAGATGGCAAGAAAAGCAATATTTTCTGTTATTCTTTCAGGTCAGATACATTATACATCCTTGCACATGAGAATCAGTGATGACCTATTATTTTGCTATTGAGGAAATTCCCTTTGTAGTTAAGGCTGGCCTTTAATGTTCATTCAGCTTTCCCCTTGCTGGTCACTGTTTACCAAAGCAGATAGCTCCTAATTTTCCCTGAGCTGAAATGTATGGTGAAATTGCCTCTGGCTTCATATTCAATTTGAATACAGCCCAGCTGTGAACAGCAGGACTAACTTCTCCCTGTATCTGGCTACAAGTACATCAAGACGGTTGATACGATTCCTGTCTTTTCCCATCCTGTCTTGGGAAATCACTAGTGTCATAGTGCTGTATACTTGCAATTAGGCAATGCTGAGGATTTTAAAAGTTACAGTATCACTGAGTACCTAGAATTACAGCAAGGACTGTCGTGCAGAAATAATATATGACTGCTCGCAAACCAATCTTCCCAGAAACGCTGGCATCCAAAGCAGCAACACCTGCAAAAACAACCACAAAACCAAAACACTAAAAAACAGTTTTAGAAGAAACTTGTTATTTTTAGAGACAATTATTTGTTGTCTCTTATTTCTATGCAGGAAATTTTTCCTTATTCAAGATATTACTAAATAGCCAATTTCCAGTTTCACTTCTGAAAAATGTCTATAGCAGACCAACATATTTGATTTTGCTTCTTTGCAAAAATCTAGTTTCCCTGGATTTTTCTAGAAAAAAGATAATTGAGCTTTTCTGACTCCCTGATGTTCATGATGAATTAATTAGATGTCTTTGGTTTATTTTCACATTCACTTAAATAATAACTTCACTTTCTTCAGACCTTGGCTAACATTTGGCTTTAAAACTAAATGCCATGAGAAGGGACCTGCTCAGGGATGTTACCCCAGGTTGCTCAAAGGCACATGCAGACAAGTAAGGCTCATTCCTAGTGGACTTGACTTCATTAACAGGTTTGGGTTTGGGTTTTTTTTAACTAAACTTCTTCTGAAGTCTGGGCTGTTCCCACTCCTCTGCCTGTATCTGTCCTTGTCAGGAACTGAGGGCAGTTTTTTTGTTAATGAAGGTGGGGAAAGTGCTGAGGCAGGTGTTATACTAAGGTCAACTTCTGGCAACAATATTATATCAGGCTGCTCATGAAGTATTTTTTGTTTAAAAGATTTACAGTTACATCTGTACACATACAATTCAGTAACCAGAATAAAATGAGCGTTGTGACTGAAAAACTTGACTGTCTATAACCTTATATAGGTTATATAGCAATACTGTAACATTAGTATTGACCGATATCTATTATATATTTGTGATCCATTTATATTTTTATCTTTATTGAATCAGATTATCAAAGAATGGCCAGATTCCCTTGTGTAGGAAAGCAACAATACCATGACAATATTTAATCTCAGAGAAGCATAATTTTGTAGGAAAAAAAAAAAGTTTCAAAACCAAAGGAAGAAAAATCAAAATAACTTTCTGACACAAATATAACTTACTGATCTTTGAGCTCAAAAAGGATCTTAGCAAGATACTTTAACCATATGTTGCTGTCTCTTCCAGAAGGTATATTTACATCAGTAACAACTTGTGCCTAGAGCGTTCCTATAATGCCTTACTTGTTCTGTTAATTGTTATTCAAAATCCAAACAGTACTGGAAATGGAGAATGAAGGTTATTTTATTTCATCATATATTTGATTATTTTGTGGTCTTCCATGGGATAGCATAACATCAGACTGAGTACAGAAGAACTACATATACATGCAGAAAACATGATGTAAAGACTATCTCACTTGTACAGCAAATATGGATAACAAAAGAACTATTCATATGGCAAAGGAATACAGACCACTGCACAGAAAAAAAGCAATGCCACAGCTATTACAGAAGGCTGTCAGCACTAAGGATATTGTTTGAGGCACAAACAACAGAATGAACACATAATCTGGGCCATAATTTATATTTCTCACCTTGGGAACTGGGAAAAAACAGGTAGAAAGGAGGACTTTCACATTGCTGTGGGCTCAGCTGTGGAAATTATGTCAGTGGGAACTCTTGAGAATGGATAGTAATAAATAATGAGTTCTGTGGACAATAGAAGAGCTGGTTTCAAAGGCTGTCAATGTTGAAACTTTTTCTCCTGATATATTAACTTAGAAGACTTTACATCATGTTTGTAAAGAGAGCAAACTGGTATTGCCACAGTTCCATACCTTTTAATGAAAAGTTCATAAAACCTAGAAATCATGGAATTTTGTTCTAAAACTTGTATCGACTGTCAATCATGGTTAGATAGACTATGGAGGTAAGAAAATAATCTTTTCATGCAATGGAGTGCTTCACAAAACTTGCCTTATTTTTTTTTTTTTTTTACTGACAATCTTGCTGACTCAGCCAAGAGCCTAATAATCATGCAAGGTTATTTCCCTCGAGTACTTAGTTATAAATATTCTACAATTAGTATGACATGAAGTTCCTGTGACAGTCATTCTTCTGGCTCAAATGAAATCCCTTTGCAAACTCTTACGTCCACTGCAGTTACAAAGGTATAATTAAGGGAAAACTCTGCTCCTGCCTTTTTAAACTGGGTAATGATCCTATTAGTGAGCTGTGCTAGAATCCAGATTGTGCTTCCGTTGTCATGCTGGTGCTGCTTTGTTGGTAGCTATAAAAACATGCAAATCAGTCAGGCAGACATGAATGAGTAAGTAGGAGTATGCTCTGAGGGTGACAGGTGTGGGTTTGGGTTTTTTTTTGAAAACTGCTGTAGTCTGAAACAAAACTGCATTCATGATTATGCTTCCATTTAGAGAATGAAGCAGCATTCACTACAAGTGCCACAGACACAGGTTTGCACTGGGTGCTTTATGCTGCAAGGGTCCTTTTTTTCATGTTAGCTTGTTCCACACAGGTAAACACAATATATAAAAATAGGATTCCCTGCAGATACATCCTACTGTCATTTGTGAGAAATTGGTAATATATTATAATTGATAGCTTACTGGCCTTCTTCTCAAGTCAACTGAAAATTAAATTTCCTTTGAGGTAACATCATGACTATAATTTCTTTGGACATAACTGAAAGTTAGTTGAAGTTGTATTAAACAAAGCATATACAACTAACTCTGATTTCAGTTCATAAGAAAACTTATTTCTCAAACTAAGATAGCACACATGCTACCAAAATGGAAAGCCTGCAGTGTTATAAGCAAAGATCGATCACAAAATCAGTATAATTAAACTTGGGCGCCTTCTGTGGATTACCACCAAACTTTTATAACTATTTTATTTGTTCTTTCCCTCTCTCAGCTTAGCCCCAAGTTTTAAAATGTTTAAGTAGGTTTGAGCAGGTAATCTGTAAATGTAGTCTACTGTACAGAATTCAAACAGGCATGATGGATTCTCCTGCATTCCTGGGCATTTCAAAACTCAGTATTTCAGATTAGTTCCTTCAATTTTCCTGCAGAGATGCTCCAATTCAGCTACAGCCACTGAAGCAGGAATGCAATTCTGTGGCTGTGATACATAATAC